GGAGAAGCGATGGCATGCTGCACGAGAGTGAGTGCAACCACTGGTAGAAATGGAAATGGCTGTACAATTATAAGGCAGATAAAGTTTGACTTGGTTGATTACATCTTTCCAATGGTTGCTCAATTTAAAACCATCCTCTCGGTTGAAGTTGTGTCTATGTTTGTATATCTGGATGGCTTCATGGACAAATCTTTGGTAATGACCGGGAGGTTTGCATAGTACTTTGATATCGGAGAAAACAATCTCATGAGAACCCGCTGTGTTGAAACAATGATCAGCCACGGCCGAAGAATTCGTTCTGCCTTGTTTCAAATCTGATTTGTGCTCGCGAATTCGGTCAGAAATGTGTCGTTTCGTCTCCCCGATATAGCGGTCACCACAGGTACAACTCAATTTGTAAACACCGGGGTACTGTAAGTCAGGAATGACATCCTTTACGGATGGGATCAGATCACGGATTTTGTGTACTCTATTGAACCGGACCTGGATCTTGTGTTTGTTTAGAATTTTGGAAATCTTTTTGGTAACACCTGCTATGTATGGCAGTGTGATGATTTTGATCGGAGTATCAGGTGGTTATTTCTGTATGGTGGGAGAAACAGCTTGGCGGATAGTACGGTCAGAGTATCCGTTCATCTTGAGGGCCAGATGTACATGTTTTAATTCACTGGCCAGGTGGTGTTGGTCAGAAATACAATGAGCCCTATGGTATAATGTTTTGATGAGATAATTATTTTGAGCCGGGTGGTGGTGGGAATCAGGCTTCAAGTAGGAATTTGTGTGCGTAGACTTCCTGTAAACAGAATGTCCCAAAGAGCCATCAGTCCCCCTCTCAAACAGAACATCCAAGAATGGCAGCTTGCCATCTTTCTCCACTTCCATGGTGAATTTGATGGATGGGTGTCTGGAATTGATGTGGTCGAGGAAATGGTTCAAAGCTGGGAGAGCTCTTCACTTGATACAGCTATTGTGCTGTGACTGTTCCACCTGAAGACGGAAGCTTGTGATGCCTCCGAAACGTCGTGATTTAATTTAGTTGCTTTCATTTATTTTATTTTACCTACGTGACTTTACCGAAAAAAACCAAAGTTACAATTAGTACGGTATATATATTTTTTATGTATTGTGTTGTTTTATTCATTGCTTTAAACATTCATTTTCACCTCCTTCCCACGCTACGTATAAAACTAGAAACTCAACTGTTTTTTTTTATTTTACCAGGTAAGACCCACGAAGCTATATATATAGATTATGAATCCTTGCATTCACGAAAGCTTCAAATCTAGAATTAATTCTAACTTACCAATACCGTGAGTTAATTGTTCGTGGTTTAATGATTTACATTCCAAATGGAACCCAACCACCTTAATCGTTAAAGGTGGCTTGCAATAGAAATGGTAAATAACAGATGAAGGTTTTGGGAAATGGCACTGACTGGCTCGCATGCAAACTATTGCAGCATTTAAACATCGTTCATTTAACAATGATTAAACAAATACAACCAATAATGGAAACGTCATACGTCTCCCAAAATACAAAAGCATGTGAGATAGCCATTTATTTAAATAGTTTTTTATTTATATATATAAATGTACACTATAATTAATACATTTGACCAAGCGTTCCTTTTGTGGCCTGTGTCATATCACAAACATGGAATCGCAAATGCGATGAACATAAAGTTCCACTGCAGGTTTTAAATAATGCCACGTTTCTGCTCGCAATTTGTGACGAGATCGATAGGATACTGCGGGCTACAAACAGAACGCCGAAGCCACATTTGCCACGTGTGCATACATTTGGCGACCTTCGGGAGTCAATGATAGAGAATAGGACGATGTTTTCACAAATGAGGGAAGAGAAGCATTGACAGGTACAATTCTCCACGTTTTAACACAAAAAAAAAAGTTATTTCACATACAACCGGAAAAAAATATACTTGGCACACAAAACATGCTGTGAGTCATGCATGCACGGACAGACAACCAAATATATTGCTCCAGCGGCGTTTGTAAATGCTTGGCTATAGAAGCAATAGTAAATAAACTTTAATGTATTGAGAAATAATAGGAACTGTAGGCAGCAATGTCTGGTACATGATGGGTTTTGAAGTTTCTTGCTGATTTTCCAAGGAAATGAAAAACAAATTGATATCGTTTTTTTGTGTGCTAGAAATATATTATCAGACCAATCCCCTTAAAAGTGTTCCATTTATGAAGCATTAATATGGAAATTCATTGCAATTTTATTTATATATTTGAATTTTGATCACTGGAACAAATTACAACACAGCACTAGTAATGTATTGCATTGGAAGTTATTGTTAAATTCCATTAACACCCACGTGGGTGCGTTGGACGTAACAGTTTCATTAAGTGAGCAATTTGTTCCGAACAGTACTGCCGTTATCACAACGTATGTGGGAAAATAAACTGCTGCAGACAAATCAATCCAATGCCACGCTAAACTACCGAATGACCTGGCCAAATGTATTTGTTTTTGTAAAACATTACAATTGTTTTTGTACTGGGTATGTGCAGCGGCACAAATAAATCTGCGTATGCAGTATTTCATACATACACGCTTATTACTCATCAGAACATGCACTATAATAGTAATAACGCTGAGACTGGCTTGTTATTGTGATGCTTCTTTGGAGACATCATCAGCCATGGTAAATCTGATGCTGGATCAAGGCTTCTCCAGGCCACCACTATCTCCCAAGATCCTGTGTGATGTTAATAGTCGACGTAGTCCTTGCGCACAAGCTGATTGAATCACTCCATTCTCGTCTGCCGACACCTTCTTGGATGCGTTTTATTCCTTGGCTCCCACTCCACTCTGTCATTATTCTTCAACACAATCATCTGTTCTAGCAACGTGCCCTGCCCAAACCCACATACTTACATTAACCCGTGTAGGATCTCTCACCCATGTGTTCCTCTGGATGTCTCGCAGTGTAATTGTCAAGTATGCATCTCTTCATGCTTTCCTTGCGGAACTTTCTGATCGTTAAATGTTTTTTTTTTCACTTACCGACAGACGTAAACATTTTTCGTCTTTCCAGTCTCTTATTCCTTCCCGTGTTGAAGGCACATCTGACGATTTGGGGTTTATCCTTAATCCACCGTTTGGGCTTCTCCACGTCTATTTTCTCGTTTCCTTCTTGTTAAAAAAAAACAGGTCTGTCGTTATTTTTACGTAATTTTCCAGCTGCAAATTTTAGTAGATGCTGACCACTCATCCCTCACTCAAATACCCAAATATACCAATCATCTTTTCATCTCTGTGTCTTTTATATACGTTTGCATCAGTCATCCATTATGATGTTGTAAACGTGCTGTACCAACGTATATGAATACATAATTTAGTAGTTTGGTAATTTATGCGTATAGTTGTTCTACTTCTTCATCAGCGTGACTTGTTGGAGCATATACTTGCATAATATAATATTTTATTTGTAGTGTTTCTAGAGTCTTAGACTAAGGCCTTAGGCTAAGGCGTCCAGGCTCTCAAAACACTAAACAGAATACTGTGCTGTAAATTTTCAATCTACACACAAAAGAAACAATTTCAGAGCTAATAGTTGCTTTTTGGCATAGATTGGTCTCTACCCCTATCATCTCAACCACACACAACGACAACCAATCACACACACCGCACAGTGATTAGTCAGTTTATTGGGTGCCGATCAGCGGTAGAGTGAGCGGTTGAAGGGTTGACTCAGAATCAAAATCTTTATTTAGACTGGAGGAACCCGATGAGCTATTCAGTTCTTTTTCAGCTCATTATCTCTCTGGAGTCTATAAAAATGGGTACCACTTTGTGGGGAAAGTCAACAGTGGTATTCCTCTGGAGTCAGTCACCCCATCATAATATCCACCACTGAACTCAGGGCTGTAAACAGGAGATCAGTTACTGCCTCAATACTCACGTGAGCAAAACATCACTCACTATCGTCTTCGTTTCTCGAGAGTAGGGCAGATGTGTAAATGTTGACTCGGACTGTGTTGGTGAATTCTTATCCATACACATGAATTCACTTAAAACATTTGTGATACGGACGTTAAGACCTACATCGGTATTTTCAACAAGGGTAAACTGACTTTTACTCCTGATCCACCTATGTTTGTTTTGCCTAAAAACAGCAGGACTTTGTAAAGAAAGATATGCTGTACAAATACCAACGGAGAAACACTCCACCTGCACAGAAGTTGGTGGATATATAAATGGAAGCAGCATAATCCACTGGTTACATTTGGTGTACGTTGAAGAGCATAAAAACATGATGTTAATCGTAGTGTTATTTTCATTCTTGGCATATTCATATGGTACTTTAAAAACATCAACATTTTTGTACTTGTATTTTTTTACTAAACTAAATATACATGTAAACTGGTAAATGCTGCACATAATGTATTATATTTGCACAGATCAATACTGCTACAGTTGAAGAGGTGGTAGAGATGTTCATGCACTGTGCCATCAACCTAGTGACCTGGGTTTGATTTCTGGCCATGGCTGACATCGGTGGCGGGTGACACATGAACTGGTCCTGGTCTGCCCATTCACCAACCTGCGCTGACCTGTATGGTGAAGTCTGGTCCAACAGCCCACACGTTTAGGGGTGGCCTTATCCAGCAGTGAATAGGCAAGGGCTGTAATTATTATAATCAGGTCACCCCTGAAAAAGAGACTTAATTTCTGTCTCAGTGGGTTCTCACCTAGCAGAAGCTATCAATCATTAATGTCCTAATTAACATTACAAACATAGCTCTGTCAGAACAATGAGGAAAACAAAACTCTAACATATAGTGTCCATATTTATATTGCATCTTGTCCAAAATATCTACAAAATCATATTGTGCATATTTATCGCACATCGTTTCGACGGTTGCTCGGTGTGAATTTGTTCCATAACTTGCAGTATAAAAATATATCCAGTAAAATTGATTCATGTTGTGTTGCTGCTGCTGTTGCTGGTTCCTCTATGGCTGCAGGCCAGAAGTGTGGGAGCCCCTCCATCCAGCCTGTTATCTCAGGCTTCTCCAGGGTTATCAATGGAGAGGAGGCTGTACCTGGATCCTGGCCCTGGCAGGTCTCCCTGCAGGTCTGTTCCTCCATTCACAAGGAGCTCATTGCTTACCAAATGTTAATTTAAACTCTTTAAAAAAAGCATGCGCGATATTACACAACACTGGATAAATGGTCCAACTTATACAATCCATTCAAACTTGTATTTATGTAACAGTGGCAAGTTGCGATTGACTATGACTACCAAACCAATATGTATGGAATTATATAGTTTTGACTTAAAACTTTCGTGACTGCAGGACCATAGAATATAGAATATTAATATATTCTATGGTTCTTTTGGTAAAGTCATGTAGATAGAAAAAATAATATTTGTTATTTTTTTTATCTACGTGACCTTACCGAAAGAACCAAAGAATAATTATAAAGTTATACTGTAGATACCGCAACTCCCTCTTGGGATATACCATATTTCATTGTAAAGTTGATTTATTACGTTTAAAAAAAATAATATCCTTCATGGAGAATCAACTTCATATATGCATATTTTCCATCTTCATCTTTGTACAAATAACCAATTTTCATTCATCATTTTAAAACTGAAGATGTAAAACGGCGTGTGCTATATTTTTAATTTTGTCAATTTTCTACTCCCAGTATGAGGACGGATTCCATTTCTGTGGAGGTTCCATCATTGATCCGTACTGGGTCATCACGGCCGCACACTGCGACTTCAAGTAAATGTGGCAGTTCGACTCAACATTTTGAACGGACGCAAACAAAAAAAACCACTGATATTTGTGACACGAACATTCAACATCATGAAAAATGGAAAAGAACAAACAGTTTCACCGAGTTTATTTTTGTGCAATGTCTCTTTCCAGACCAGCCAATCACCGCATAATTGTTGGTGAGCATGACAAGAGCAGCAATGTGGAAAACATCCAAATTCTCTATGTGGAGAAGGTCAGTGATAGAACATTCTGTACAACTCTAATCCATTTGAGCACCAATTTTTTTTGACAATGCTTCCAGAAGGTAGTGCTTTTTTGTGAAAGCTTTATAATAAAATGAATCCTTCTACATTAGAGTATTTTGAAATGCGATAAACGCTGTATTACCATTATTTGAATCACCACTTACATTTACACTCTACATGTCATGTGACAACCAGCAACAGCAATGCGTTGCTTTATCTTTTTTTTCGGCATTTCATACAAAATGGACATTCTCATTACAACATTTATAATGTTGAGCACTCACCAGCTTAATTTGTATTTGTAAAAAAAAAAAACATATTTGAATCACACACAGAGAGGCGCTGAAATCCAATAGCATACATTAATTAAAACACACACACACACACATGCTTGAATGTGGATCCTCCGTTGATGCAGGCGATCACTCATCCCTTGTACGACGCAAACACCATAAACAACGACATCCTGCTTCTCAAGCTGAAGGAGCCAGCCTTCTTCGGAGACACAGTGTCGCCTATCTGCCTGCCCCGAGCTACAGACACGTTCTCCCCTGGGACCCACGCTGCCGTGACTGGCTGGGGTGTCACCCGGTGGAACGGTACGCGCTTTCGTCACCCTGATGCTCACGAACGAGTGTTCTCACTCTGCGAGGAGCGCTGCAGCTGGCTACGAGTTTGTGTAGTCAATGAAGCGTACACGCTGCAACACATAGTAGGAGGCTGGCTGCGTTGGAAGCTAACAACTGCGCTGCATCGCAATTGGCGGTGTCGCATGGTAAGCCACGTGAATGCATGTCTCTTACTTCCCCGCTGCGAGTACAAAATTTAGACATCTGGCCGTGTCGGTTGTGTTGCGCAATGCACAGTGGCGGCGCCACGCACGTGTGTTTTAATTTGCTTAATTAATATGCATGGGTAAGAGCAATTACAAAACCTTAGCGTGATGGCAATTTTTTTAAAATAAAATATAGAAATTACTACAGATAAATGCTTAGCAGGTGAGTTTAATTTAATGCAAAAACCATCTCCGAGCCTGTATAACCCAGCTACACTGACTATAAAACAATGCCATTGTTAAAAATCAATTGCTGCATGCACTATCAATTGACAACTTTAATGTTTTCGCTCATCGTAACGTGGCATGCTGCCTGTTTAATTATTGTTTTAATGCATCACTGTGGGCGCAGCTGAAATCTATACTAATGAAAGCATCATAATTGTACGTTACTTTTGTAACGTGTTTAAATTTATGGAATGGGTACCGAGGAACAATTTCCGTGTGGACTTCCTGCACCTTACAAACAGTGTCAGCGCGACGCAAAAACAAGGCAAGTAAATGGATAGGGCCCCAAGGGGCTCACGGGGTCGTGGATTCATGAAAAAATTGGCACGCATCAAATGTCCGCTCAAAAATCAATTGTAGACATAACAAGCTAATTAATATAAAAAAACTAGGAGGTATATATTCAGTGAAATAAGATAAATGATCTAACATGAGAGATGTATTTCTTTTCTTGTATCTCACTATATCTCTGTTTGTATATATCTATTTGTGTCTATATTACTATTATCTCGCTACACATATATCTCACCTTTGTATCCCTTATGTCATATCGCAATAAATTATATACATTTCAAGAGGGGGGGGGGGGTGGAGGCAGTGGGAGGTGGTGGGGGGGGGGAAAGATAATTTCTGCTTCGGACCCCCCAATGGGCTAACATGACCACTGCTTACAAATATAAACACTTGAGTTTAAAAGATGCCGTGCAAACATGTACATTCAGCGGAACAACCTCATGCAGCCAATTGTCCGTATGATAAATGCATGCAATGTATACACCCACAGCTAATTATGGTTCCAGCACGCTGCAGCAGACAGTGCTGCCCCTAATCTCAACTGAGGACTGCAAGAAATGGTGGGGCTCCTACATCATGGATCCTATGATCTGCGCTGGAGCAAATGGTCACTCCACTTGTATGGTGAGCTATATACTACTGACTTACCATAAAAGTGCATTCATATAAATACATTACTATAATTTCAAAGCCATGTTTTGTATCCTTGTATATGCAGGAATTGCATTAACATGTCCAAGACACATTCACCATACATAGACAGACGTTATATCCGTATGTCATACGTAAGTTTTGTGTGGTATTTAAATAATGTCCACCTTGTCATTCAAAAGTGAATGAAATACGGGTTGTAATGTTACAACACACAGCAGACATTAAAAGTATTGCCAGTTCCATTTAAAATTGTCATTCACATTGTATATATAAGTAAATAAACGATACTCACAGCAGTTGTGTTATAAATATAAAAAAGTGACGCTACAGTGCTAAAAGACAAAATATCGTAATGCCATTTATCTAGGAGTACCTTTCATTCTCATGCTACTTTTTTCAGGAAGGTCCTGCTTTGCCATGTTCGTCCAATTGTTTTAAATGACTGTTTAATGCCCAAGGCTCAGATAACAAGACTAAGGCCTCTTTAGGGTTCCTAAAGTTAAGCGTTTCTATCAGAGGCTCAAATAGCCAGACTAAGAAACCTTTAGGATTATTACTGTTCGATGTTAATAGCAGAGGGCTCGCATGAGACAGTTTCAAGAGTGGCATAACCACAGTATTTTACGTATAAATCGACTAATTCTGTAAAATTATCGGGCTATTGTACCGAATAGGTGGCGGCATGTGGGTGGGGTAAGGAGAAGGCTGAATGCAGTTTTAGTTTAAATATTCATGAGTAGGTATAATTAAAAATCTTTTTTTTTCCCCCACCGGCCCCAAATGACGAGTCGTGCTGAATGCTATTGGGTATTCCCCATAATTGCGGTGTGGCAGGGCGACTCTGGAGGGCCCACAATTGTTGTGTATGTTCACAATTGCGGTGTGGCAGGGCGACTCTGGAGGGCCCACGATTGTTGTGTATGTTCACAATTGCGGTGTGGTAGGGCGACTCTGGAGGGCCCACAATTGTTGTGTATGTTCACAATTGCGGTGTGGCAGGGCGACTCTGGAGGGCCCATAATTGTTGTGTATGTTCACATAATTGCGGTGTGGCAGGGCGACTCTGGAGGGCCCCTGACAGTGCAGAAGGATGGGATGTGGGTGCTGGCCGGACTCACCTCGTGGGGCAACAGTCGCTGTGACACCTCGGTGCCCGTGGTCTACACTCGGGTCACCACGTTTGTTGACTGGATTGCCGAGACCATGGCCAAGAACTGATTCCTCGTAACAAATGTTCGCAAGGATTTAAATAAATTCAATTTCCTGCAAGACGTGATTTCTGTATGTGATGCCATGTGGAGTGGTTATACTTCTTTAGATGTTTGGTTCATTGAATTACTCTTTTGTTGTCATTATGGAAGACTGAAATATACTCTATCACCTATTTAGACATGCATACAGTGTTGCATATGATAAACATGTATTTTCCAAAATCTGATCAATGGCAGTAAACATTTCGTCCAAGCCCAGTTTTTCCGCTATATTTCCCATTATTGTTCCCAGTGATCTTCATGAACCACGGGTTGTAATAGGAAGGAGTTATTTTAAATGCATAAATGCATACTTCTGGAAACATGGACATTGAACAAAAACTCTAAACAGGCACAACGCATGGAAATGTGGAGCCACATTGAGACAGCTGAGGAATAAATGGATTAGAGAATATACATAGGTGATATAAATAATCCGCTTAAGTGGGTTTGGGTAGGATACATAACTGAAGATGATGTCATATGGTCATGAATAATAACTAAGTGGCAAAAAAGTAATACGTATGCGAGATGTAGTGGTAAAATCACCTTGTTGGTAGCTCCTAGGTGGATTGTTAGATTGCGGGACCGCGAGATGGTGACGGCTTTAGGAGACCATCCAGTCATGGATTGGCCATGGCTGATGATTACTCAGTGTAGTAAAGTGTATTAACGTTAAATATATCGTTCTATTAAACAACTCTCGTATATTTCACAGGAATTACTAACATTTAAAACGTAGGCGACATTTTTTGGCCAATTTTTTTTACTTTACTTCATAAATGTAGGCACAAGAAAAACACCCATAAAACCAACACTCAATTAGCTCTTCTGCGTGTCTTGTTCAAGTGCCATTTCTCTTAAGACATTACAAATGGCGAGTTTGTTCTCTGGACAGATGGTCCCCACGTATTTGGTGATTCGTGTATTTCAGCACACGGGATGTTATATTTAGCGCCCACAATGTACATCAGATTCCACCACCCACCAAAGCCATTCTTCACGATAGCAAATTACAATCGGAATTTGTATTTATTTATCCTGGAGTATCCTGGAGATAACTGATAAGCTTTGAAGCTCCTTTTCACAGATGTCCATTAGGGGCAGGTCATAACATTACAAGAACAATGGGAAACGTGTGATAAACAATCATAAGACTTGGGCATGCCGAGTATATATTTTTTATATTGAATAAACAGTCACTTGTACAATTAGGTATATGACTCATTCACTGTAACTTCATGAACACAGTTCCAGTAACTAAAATAGTACTAACGTATGAAAATGTAAACTTAAAATGATGCAGTTGGCAACGTACGCTGCCGAAGAAATTCGACATACATACATTAAATTTGTATTCCTTCATGACAATCGCAAAAAAAAATTGAAGAGCTACTACAACTATGTTTAGAACTCGAATAACTATTACATGTCCTCACCTTTGCAATAAACATTCCGCTTTGCACTACAACCAGTAATGAAAACATTTGCTTACTCATTTTTAAATAAAGTCGAAGACCTTGCTTTAAACATGTTGTATAGTTAAGCGTCTTAATTGGACGAAATGTGAGAATCAGACAAGTGAAATTGTATAAACACACAGCCACATGCTGTGCAACCTTTAGTTACATTCTGGCGTTTATTCCCTTAATTAAATCATGACAACTCCCCGTTATTTACAACAATAAAGGTACATATTCTTGGTGCTTTCGGTAAGTCTTGTAGAAGGGAAGCAATAAAATAATAAAAAATATTGTTTCCCTTCTACGTGACTTTACCGAAAGAACCAATTAATATGAATCCCTGCAGTCACGAAAGCTTTAAATCAAAATAAAGGTACAATTTGCAGTATTACTAATCTCTTTCGAAAGTTATTAAATGATTACGTTTACAAAGCTCTTTTAATTTAAACCAATGTCCTTTTATCTTTGACTGAAGTTGCTTATACGAGATTACAAAAGCACAATGTTCGTTATGTTAACTGCAAAAACATGACTCATAATTGAGCACGAGGAAATAGAACACAATAATTGTACATTCAGCAAATACGACTAAATAAACATTTATTGTCCACAACTAATTTTTGTATGCCATAATTTAGCTTATGCCGCAACTACTGATCGTCACCATTAAAGGGAAAATTAAAAAGCAATTCCGAAATGAAAATATCACCTCCATGGTGGTAATGTGTCATGTGAACATCGAGCCAGTACCACTGAAAACATGGGTCTTGAAGCAATGCTTTCAGCCAAGCTGACACAGTGTCCCTTAGTAGTATATGCAGCGGATGTGGTGGATGGGGATGTGTGCCATCTCGTCGCGGTGGGCACGTGCATAATCCCACAGGTAATAGTCTAGCAGGACGGCGTTAATATCTTGAGCTTTTGCGACACCGCGCTCGGCCAGCAAACGAGCCAACTCCTCTTGGATGAGTTCCACGCACCAGATGGAGCATCCCCGGATCTCGACTTCCTGCTCCTCGCCAGACTCAAACATCACACCTGCGGAATATGATAGGCGGGCAGGCTAACGGGGGAAGGCGTCCTTAATGCTGCAGCCCAAGACTTTCGCCGCTCTGATGAAATGTTTTTTACACGTTTCATGTCCACTCTTTGAAGTCAAATACTTTCCGGTGAGAAAGGTAACCATCCCGGGTTTTAAAAGTGAGCTCAACAAAGGGGCATTTCATCCGTAGATCCCAATGTGGCATGTAAACGGCCAAAACTACAGGGTAAATTTAAAGAGGTATTTTCGAGAGACTTAAATAGCCCTGATGAATCTCTGATTGTTTTATTACCAAAGCATCCCATAGTCTGGGAGCTACACTGGCAAAAGCCCAATCACACCGGAAACACAGCCTTGACGTCGCTGTACTTAGAATAATGCGTTCCGAAGATCTCGGGGACATTGTTAAGAGAATACAAAATGATTATATCCTGCAAATATTCTGGGGCAAACCCATTGAGAGCCTTGTAAATCAGCAGCAGCATTTTATAATCCACTAGATACTTGACTGGTAGCCAAATACAAATGAACAGGTGAGATGTGCTCACGAAACGGTTTGCATGTAAGGACTCTAGCAGTTGCATTCTTAACAAGTTGGGAGTCTACCCAGCACCTTAATCGGAATCCCTAACAGCAATGCCTTGCAGTAACCAAGTCAGGGGAACACAAAAGCACGGACCAGACTTTATAAGTAATTAGGTGACAGGAATTGACGCAGCCAGGCAATATTTCTAAAGTGGAAGAACGAGATTCTAACCACCTTAGATACATGTGCCTCAAGGGACAGGGACTGGTCAAATTGAACACCGAGATTTCTGACCTCCTGTGATGGGCAGACATCGTGACCATCTATTGACAAATGTGGTTAACCAATTTTAGATAACTGCAGATGGGAGCCAATGAATATGGCCTCAGTTTTGTCAGTATTGAGTAAAATAAAATGTTTCTGCAACCAAGATTTCACTAATACTAATGACAGACAGTGCAGAAGCAGCTGTCGGAGCCTAACCGGACGTAAATTTGCGTTTCATCAGCACAGCAGTCATAACATAAGCCCAAATATTGCAGCAGTGCCCAAAGGAGCCATAAAGCATTACAAATGGGGGAACAAGTACATATCCTTGCTGAACACAGTATTGAACCGGTCTGATTGGAGATTTAAAGCCATCCATTGTGACAATGCACGAGTTCTCTAAATATCAGCGTGACCACTGTAAGGGAAATTCCCATCGAGTGTTCTAATCGCTCAGGAAGGACCCTATTACCAATGGGGTCAAACGCGACACTGAGATCAAGCAAGACGAGGAGACTGGCTTGGCCCTGTAGTCGCTAACAGCAACGACTCGTTGATCGCCCTCTCAAGAACTGTCTCGGTGCTGTGCACGGCCTTGAATCCCGATTGAAATGAGTCAGACTTGTTATTGAGACGCCAGGCGCTGGTGGAAACGAGAGGCCACAGCATGTTCCAAGAACTTGGATAAGGAAGGATGGAGATTAGACACGATCTGTTGAAAGTCGGGGTGACTGCAGCGGTCTTAATCAATGGTGAGAACTGTACCAGCCTTAAGAGGTTTGTTGAAGATGCCAACGGCAAAGGGCCCCAATGCAGAAAAATGATCCTGTAATCGTCTACAGGCAAAGGGATCCAATGAGCAAGATGTAGGTTGGGAATCCACGATAAAAGAGGTGAGTCCTGCAGTTGCAGTAGCGGAATATTTATCCAACAAAGTGCCCCCGAACCGGGAGAGGAGCAGATAAAATGGAAGGGGAATCGGGGGGACAGATATTAATTGGGAACGGATAGTGGAAATGTAACCAAAAAATATACTGAATGGTGGTGCAGTGATCAGCGGAAGAGGGAGAATTTTAATTTGCATCCTTAATCACAAGAATGATGGTAGATAATAAAGTCTGGGGGATTACACTTGCTTATCGTAATGCAACCAGCAATATAGGATGATTTAGCAAGTGAGATGTTGTTGGAATGGGCATGAAGCTGTTCTTTAAAAACCTAGTGATGAACGGGAAAACCAGACTTTCTCCATGCATGTTCACCTCCGCGACCAGTGGATTTCGGTGCCCTCAGATCAGTAGTGTACCATGGGGAGGGGTGAAAGGTCTTATTGTCATATGTTAATTGGTTGTTCCTTATCCCTTTAGAAAAATTATAAACAGGATGATTAAAAATGGATTAAACACCAGTTGCCGTATTCTACTCTACGAAATTGAGCCTCCACTCTGCTATCTGGTAAGTATGTAAATAAATAAATGGTATAAACATATTAGCTCCATTTCATGCAACATTTTGATGTTGATCCTTCCTCACTGGAAGCTTACACTTGCCAACAGCAAGGATAAACAAAGAGTGGAAATGTCAGTGTGTGCATATTTTCTTGCTTTGAATTATATTTAAAACATAGGGACATGCTCAACTAAAACTCACTTCTCCACTTATTGTATGCAATCAGAATGAAAGCCATACATTTTAAAATATTGGTAAGTGTTTTTACAGCAAAGTGAAATACAAACCGTCTTTGAGTTTCTGCATGAGTCGGCTGGAGTACTTCAGAGCACCCAGGTAAACCAGTGCCTGGGGCACCCGATAATCGGCAAACATGGTCAGGGTGCCAATGTCATTGAAGAAGCCATCGCCCTTGCCCTCCAGGAGGCCCCAGATGTCAGCCACCAGGATCTGGGCTCGCTTGTACAGAGCCACCCTTTTGCTCTGCAGGCACACACACACATACAAACACAGCACAGAGATAACAATGCACAGCCAAATGAGTCTAGAAAAGTATCCGTGTTGGGCACAATTTCACGTTGGCACTCTGCATGATTAAGATACGATCACTTGCTATGCTTGCGGGTAACTGTGAAGTATATGTTTAATAAAGGCAAGAACATATATTTACATGGTATTTTAAAACAGATGGTAACACATTTACATCATAGGCATGAACTTAACCATACAATATTTATTTACTTATAAAGGCAGTCTCGCATTGTATATAACTTATCAGGCTTTGAGGAAAAACAGGTTGTTATGATACTGCAGGCAATATAGTGGGCAGCAGAGGGCAGTACGTTAAAATCAATTGGCTGTACTTTACTTCTATGCTCCCAGCCTTCACCAACCTGCACTGACGGGCGTGAAATATGGCCAACTCCCACAACACGGAGAGGCCCTCATCCAGCAGTGTACTGACAAAATAGCTGTGCACAAATGTCCACATTTAAACAGCAGGGACAAATCTCTCCATGGGACAATCGCTGTTGACCTCTGACATGTGGTTCAACAGGAGTCATATTGGCTGTGGCATATCACAGAACAATCACCTCCAAGGCCCAGACTTTGTGTAGGCAGAGCCACCACCTTTTGTCAATCCACCCACAAATTGGCAAAAATGGCTGTGCGCGTAGTGTCACATAAGCAGGCTACATTACACAGTCTGTTCTCCTATAACCCAGTAGCTAATTCCCAGAAGAAAATCACGTTATGGAAAAATTGCGTAAAGCAGTCTGCGATAACATGTGAGATGCGTATGCAGGCGCAATAAAGACTGAGGTGCGTGGGTAGCATCTATAAGCATCCAGCAGCATCCCGCCTTATGTGATGCTACGCCGAAGCAGCCGTACAACCGCATATTCCTACTCGCACGACGTAGTTCTGTTCACTCAATCGCGTTATATCCAATTTGCACCCGCGTTATAAGAAAATGTGTTCCCTAATACACTGATCGCGTTGTATCCAATTCACTTTATGAAAACACACGTTATAGGACAACAGACCGTACGAAAACACACGTTATAGGACAACAGACCGTACGTACATCGTGCGCAATGTACCTTGAAGGTTGCTTCATCTCGGTAACATGGGAAGTTCTCCACCACCAACCGGAGCAGAGCCTGCGCACTGTGTCCGCAGCGGCGCAAGCACTCCAGGAAGGAGCCGCCAAAGCTCTGCACGAGGATACGTCCCGTCTCCGTGAGCACGCGGTGCCGCTCCGCCAACATGGGCATTGGTGAGCCAGAGTCAGAGCGGAGAACGTGGCTCAGCTCCTCGAAGGTTATGTTGCTGTAGTACGACGCACTTGTCATATGAAACCCTGAACAAGATTATACGTATTCATTGTTGATCATATACAAACTGCATTCTGCCTCCGCATACATAGATTTTTTTAATCCAACAACCTATTGTCTTTCCAGACCAATACTTTTCAGCAGCATTAATTAAGCAATCAAAAGCCTGGTCTGATTTCGACCCCGTAGGTCTCGAAATGAAAGTGTGCCCCGGTGGCACGATGGTATCTGACTCGCCTGGTGTACAGGTTGCAAGTTCGATCCCAACCCTGACGCCTGTTGTATATTTGAAGTTTGCATGTTCTCCCAAATGTTCGTGTGGATTTTTCTCCAGGTCCTCTGGTTTTTCCCTCAACGTTTAGAATCGACATGCCATTAATAGTATTTGGCTGCAATCATTTTCCACGTGATAAGCCACTTCGTTGAGCTATCATTTGTGGCCAGATCGCTTCGGAAAAGTAGCTATATAGCTCAGTGGGCCTTACCTGGTCAAATAAAAATAGCATAGCATAAATATGTTTTTATACAACAGCCTATTGTCTTTCCAGAACAATAATATCCAGCAGCATTTGTTTAAGCAAACCCTGGTCTGATTTAGACCCAGTAGGTCTCATCATTCAAATAAGACGAATTGTTCATTATTGGAAAAAAAAATTCAAAATGAATGATCGGTGAGGCTTTATGTAGCTTGCAAACCTTTTTTGGCCATGCCTGATTCTATAGAAACGGATTTGGCCAAGGGATCCCGAAGACTGGCACACTGCATGAGTGCCAGGTCCACACTCCAATTGTATTCATCATGAAACGCAAACAAAACTCCTGAGAGCAAACTTAAAAAAATTCAGCTACAACTATGATAAAGGCTGCAGGGAATTGTAAAGAAAAGACCATACATTTAAATTGTAATAAAATAGCACAAATAAGCAGATGTATAAAAGACATTTGATAAATATTGAACTGAATGTCTCAGACATGCCTACGTGCAACCACACGTCACAGTCCCTGTGATCTCTGTTACGTTGCAATTATGGCTTTATTTTTTGGTGATTTCGAAAACGTTTTTTGCTTTGGACATGTTTGTTTTGTTGTAGTACGGAGTTAAGACTGATGGCCTTAATCTAAGTTTTCTTGTGGTTGTTGTTTGACTTGCATCCCACTAGGATTTTTTGCACACAGCGTTGGTGTACGGTGCTTTTATCAGAAATGTTTTGCTGTGTTTTTCATGGATTTTCTGTTTGCAGTCACATAGTCACTTTAAGATATTTTCTTGTTCGTGTTTTTGTTTGTTGTGGTTGCACCCAATTCAAAAGCCGAATGGCTCACAGGGCTATACCAAAATAAATAAACTGAAACCCCTAGCTTGTACGATAAACATTGAATACAAGTACAAAATATAAAAAAACAACCTTCATCAAGGGCACGGTTCATAGCGGCACATAGGGTCCAGTACCCGCTGTACATCTCCTCCTTGTATTTCACCAAGCATTTTGTGTCATCGCTCTCAGCCCAGAAAGAGAAATTAAGTGTGTCCACCACGAACACCCAGTTAACGGCATCTTCGTTGGTCATCTGAGGATGAAGCTTGTGCATGCTTTTCCAACACTCCACCCCAAATGTTTTCTCCTGATACTTTTCACACAGCACACTTGCCACCGAGCGCACGCCCTCGTCTGCGATAGAAACGTCCTTGCTGTTCTTGGCAATGAATCGCCCGGCATCACGTGGACACAGAACCTCCTCCATTCCGTCTTCTGTTAAAACAAACATATGCATGCATGGCCATTCAAGCAGGGGACATCCGTTTGACATCGTCCTGTGCATACCGCCCAGCAGGTGGTGGGGTAAAGGGTGGCTACCCTCACCTCTTCCAAGACACCTGGCCAGAATGAAGAGGAAGCCAAATGCTAAGGGGCTCTTGTTGAGGCCCTTTCTGCCAGCAGTGGTGTGAGCAAGCAATTCCAGGGCTACACCTTTACCGTTTTGAATATGCTACGATAATATGGTAATTATTGAAAGCAGGTTTTTGTTTTAGTATTTTTTTTTCAAGCTGAGATGAAGTTTTCATGAGCAGTGCCAACGCTGCAACGCATCGTGTGTTAAGAGTGCGGCCGACGAAAGCAGATATCGCAGAACTTGAGATTTATTCAAGTAGTGTTGCATTGAAATGTATGCGTATAGTAAACAAAAATAACAGCCATCTTTCAATGGAGGCTACAAAAAGTACTGAATTTTAAATCAATTTAAAAAAATATGATAGTGTAATATTGAGCCTGTTAGGTGTTAAAAACGCGGGTGCTAGGGCCACTAGAAATGTTTTAAGCCCATGCGTGGTTATGTTCAGCTCCAGTGAAGGCTTTTAGTCAGTGGTGGAAATCCCACGTTCCTTTTTCCAGGGCCCAATCCATCCGTAAAAAACTACCGACGACATTCAATAAAACTAGTGCAGCCACTCCAGGTGGTGTTCCAACTGAAGTCGGCCCTTGGCCAGCACATTCATTAGACGTGTGCAGACATCTGCTGAACATTTATTTTCTGCCTTCTCAAGAGTCAACAATGGGATGATACAAGCGACTACCCTAGCTTGCGTAGGTCTCTCACAATGTGCACGCATTACAAACATTGCAATGCAATCTATGCTGTAATTGTCCGCAAGCACGAGAACGTCTTTAAGGGAATCACAACCATCCACACAAAACAACTCTTGTTCTGGAAATGTCCCAGGTAATGCAAATCATGAGTCATGCAAAGATTAATCCAATCAACACTATTGAAAACGTGTTTACTCTTATCTAGTGCGACCTTAAATGGTGCTGTTTGTTGCTGGCTGCTTAGCATTTTGGGGTGCTCAGAAAACGTGATATCGTTAACGGCAATGCGATCGGTACCATTATCCGAATCAAACATCGGTTCTGTCACGCCATATTCATGAGCCGATTCAATCGAATTGAGTTTAATATACGGATCGCTGTTTCGTCGCCTCATATGCCGATGCCGTAGGTAAGGTTACCAGAGGCACAAAAGCCCAAAAGTCTGAGATATTGCAATGCAATGCAACACAGTTGCGGCGGCGATTCGTGGAGTCGCCAGTCAACGCGGAGCGTTCGGCCTACGTTGGGCCAAAGTTGTTCCCGCAACGCGACAAACGTTGAGCGTATAGTCTGGTACAGACCTGGGCTAGGGCTAAGTTACAATTGTATTCTCTTGCGAGCTGACTGCAACGTTCGCGCTATAGATGCCGCTTGCATAGAGTTCGCACTGTACCGTACACGCAGGCTGCACGTGTTCGGGCAGCGAAGTTACTGTAAACCCCCCCCGCCACGTGACCGCGCTGTGACGTCGCTACGTAATCGGGCGGTGACGTCGCCACGTAATCGCGCGATGACGTCGCCACGTAATCGCGCGGTGACGTCGCCACGTGATCGCGCGGTGACGTCGCCACGTGATCGCGCGGTGACGTCGCCACGTAATCGCGCGGTGACGAGGGGGGGGGGCGGACGACGCGCCTGGGAAATACCATTAATGGGGGTTGCAGAAGGGCCGTTGCCCGAAACGTCGCCGATCACACATTGTTTCTTTGAAGGCTGCAAATGTCTTTGAGTCGTTTTTTTATTTATTTTTGCCTGTCGCATTCTTGCCGAAGCCAACAGCAGCGATCATAGCAACAGGGTTGGGTCGCGTGCAGTGTGTATGTGTCGTAACGCCCACCCACCACCCGACGCGGCCATTTGGTGAAGGTTTGTCGCGCTGCGAAACAAAGCGCGTGCCCAGTCACAGCGACTGCTTCAGAGGGCGAGGAGAGGGAGGGGGGAGGGGGGGACCCCCCCACGACGTTTATTAATCTTAGGTTATGCAATCACGTGCAGCCTTCAACGGCTGCACGTGACTTGGGGGGAAGAGGAGTCGGGGGTGATTGTTCGGGAGGGCAGACTTTTAAAGGGATTGGAGAATAAAGGGAGTTGGAACTCAGGGACAAGAAGGTTCGAGAAAGGGGGCCTGTGGTACGGAGTTGGACTGATGGCCTTACTCTTAGTTGTCTTGTGGTTGTTGTGGTTGTTGTTGTTACTTGCATCCCACTGGGATTTTTGCACACAGCGTTGGTGTACGGTGCTTTTTTCAGGAATATTTTGATGGTTTTTTTCCCCCTGGATTTTCCTGTCTGCACAGTCACATAGTCACTTTAAGATGTTTTTTCTTGTTCATGTTTTTGGTTTGTTGCGGTTGCATCCGATTCAAGAGCCGAATGGCTCACAGGGGCTATACCAAAATAAATGGAACTATGGTAGTGGGATATATAAGGGTAGAGACCACGAGGAGTCGGGGACGCTCGGAGGAAGATGCAAGCATGAGGACAAGAACGAAGCCTAGGGTTCCTCATCGTGGACGTCTTTAGTAGGGTCAGTGGTTGGGGAGGCACTGGCTCGTGTAAGAGCCAGATTCACACACTGCGGGGGCGTGGCCTCACTGAGGGAGGCGTGTCCTCACCGAGGGGGGCGTGTTAGACACGCCCCCCCCAGTGAGGCAGATGTGATAGCTGCCTCCCCTGGTGTTTTTTCATTGCAGTTTCACGACGAGACCAGCGAGCCTAAATATATTTATACAATAAGAATAATAGGGGTTTTTCCCCTTTTTTCTGGCAACAAAACTGAAACCTTTTTACAAGGATTCATGTCTGCATTAACCACAATACCTGCAGTCAAAATGCAAACAAAAACATACTATGATAATATATGCATTGTCCTTGAAACTGATTGGTCCACACCAAGGGACGGCTTTCTTTTGAGCCTCGACCCAATTGGTGCTCGACCAGATGACGCCAAAAGGGGAAAAACCATATTATTACATTTTGGTACTGGCAAAGGAGGTCTAATGATATATTTATACACATACGTGAAATAAGTTACCTGGAGTATGGAAGGCGAGGACATGAAATGAAGGGGTCTACAAACATTGCATTGGTGACAGACTGAGATAGTAACAGGCACGAGCTTATTGCCCGCGCTCCATCCAGTTACTGAGGGGTTGCGCAATCAGAGGGGAGGCTGAGCTCGTCGCTGCCTCACCTCTCATCTCTCCCTGTATTTGCAGCGGAGCTCCGCAAATTTGGCGATTTTGACCATAAAAATGATTGGAAACGTACAGACATGAAATTTATAACAGATCAGTGGAAAAATCTTAATATTTATTTCATTAGATTTTTTGTTACTTTTCATAACGGCTATTTTCATTGGAGTATGACAGGTGAGGCTCTGCCTCCCCTGCCTCCCCTGACCGCACGTCCCTGGTACACGCCGTTGTGCCGAAGTGGTAAAACTGATCGGCGCGTTTCGGTTCGCATGGCAGAACTTCCAACGAATTGGCCGTGTCGTGGTGGAGGTGGATTGACGACACATTTACATTGCATTAACGCGATCTAACACCCCCCCCCCCTCACCAGAAAAACATGAATATTTGGTCGCGAAAGCCTACGTGTTAAATACCTCACCTCCGATTAGCACGGTACGGTGCGAAAGAAGTTCAACATACAAACAGCAGCATTACCAAATAAGTGGTTGAACTTTCAAATACCGGGCTACTTAGGTGGGCGAGGTGCCCAAGTATATCCGACTTTTTAACGATCCACCGTTAATTACGTAAAGACAAAGTTATGCCCATGTACCGTTTGTAATGTATTTTATATATTTTGACTTTTAAGTGATATAAAGGGTAACAAAAACTGAAACCATCGAAAATCACAAGCCAATTCTGGAATGCATACCCAGTAAACATGCAACTTGGGACAAACACGGGCATAATGCTTCAAATAATGGGACTGCCTGTCACGTGTGACCGGTGTGACGTCGCTAACAAGTCACACCATTGCTTTCGGGAAGTGACCCAAGAAACGAAACACAACTCGACCAAAAGTAAAGTTGACACCAGCAAGGCTTACCTGTGCTTTGATATCTGTGCATCTCTTACCTGTACGACAAACTCACCTTGCCTCGTGGGGTAGTAGCAGAGCAAAGGGTACCACATCACGTGGTACCCAATACTAACATTAACCTGTGAGCGAGTTAATAGTTGATGGCCATGTACTGTTGCAAGAGCTCACCTTGGAATTATACACTTGTATGTAGAATATAAATGTAGTGACACCCGACACAGCAGTCTTCAACAGTTGGAGTCTTTATTTCTTCCAGCACGAGACACGTGCGGGTCTTCAAGGATTCCCTTGACTCCAAGCGTCCCGAACTCTCTCTCGCTTCCTCTTTATATATGACCTCCTTTCCTTCCAGCCAATCGCCTTCCACCTTTCCCAACGGATTCCAACCGTTCCACCCGGTGTGCTGTACTTGTAACGAATTGGCACCTTTTGTTTACGTGACAAACCTTACTAATTGTCTGTGTCGGGTGGTGGCTGGTTTAACGACACATTTATATATTTACCAGATCTAACCCAAAAAAAACTATTATTTATGGATAATATTGTTCGCGAAAGCTTACTACGTGTTAAACGTGCCACCCTGTCAATCATCCTCCGTTTGCCACTCTTCACATGTGTATTTCTACATCCAATCCCATTCAATTCCCCCCAACCGATTTCCCCTTTTAGGCCCGTTAAGCAGCGATCCGAAGGCGTGCATTACCTTTTGACTGTCCGTGTCAATCAAGTATTTATTTCTAAAGCACTGTCTCGTGCAATGGATGCCATTCAAAGTGCTGTACAGATAAAAAAAAACTTTAATAGACTAAATCACAAAAATAAAAGCAAATTCTATACAAAACAAAATTTCATTATAAGAAATTACTATCGAAGGCATATTAAACATAACACTATATATGAATCTTAAGTAAAAGTCAGTTTTAAAAAGTGAGTTTTCAGATTTAATTAAAAACTGCTGAATGATTGTGAAGCCCTCAGATCCTCCGGCAAGCTGTCGTGCACCACCATGTCCCAATAACCTCGGGCAAGTGTTTCCGGTTGCGACTGTTTCACAACTTAAATACACATCATGTTCATACATAGCAAGAATTTGTACTAACAATAAGTGCCGCTATGATATTGTGATGGGACAGTGAGTTTGTGTAACGTGCGTTCGTTTTTACTGTTTCAATATATGTCCTCTTGAAATTGACACCTGATCCATGTTTACATCTACATGACAATAGAAAGAAATGCTATACAATGTAAAATTTAGCAAAATGCCATTCCGTTGAATTTGGATTTAAAGCTTGTGTGACTGCAGCAATTCATATATTTTATTATTTTGTTTCCCTTCAACGTGACTTTACCGAAAGAGCTAAGAATATGCCATTCCGTTGTTAAGTTTAGGGCTTGTCTTTTTTTACAACAAAATCTATAAAATGTATCGTAAACATGTTTCCGTAATTTTTATAAATTTTTATGCAGTAAAGATTTGTGTATATTTGTAGCGTCCCATCCCAGTAAATATGGAACCTTGAGCCAACGTTCATTAAACGGTTCCAACCACGTGACATGTTTATTGGGATATTCGTCCAGGCGGGGCTGCAGATTATCCTGCCATGGGTGAATGGCATCTCTGGCAGAACGGAAGAGTGAAAAAGAAACGATCTGACAGCTTCCAGAAGACCCTTCTTGAGGGCATCTGGGCAGGTTAACATGAATAGACTACAAGCCCTGCTCAGGGGAAATTAATTCGAGACATTATGGTTGCTTCTCTTAGTCCTCTGTATAGGAGGCGATAACCGAGACCAAATTTCACAACATAGATCTTATGAAATCATGTATTTGTTTCATCAGGTATTTAAAATGCACATGCTTTATCATCCATAGAAGTACTTTATAATTTATAATATGCAAATTGTATTGTTTGTTTTCTTGATGCAGAAATTTAATTCACAGCCCTTTATCAACCCACTGCTGGATGATGTCCTCCCCACATTGTCAATCACGTGGGTTTTTTGACCATGCGTACATTACTCTCTGCTTCTTTCGGTAAAGTCACGTAGGTAGAAATAAAATAAAACAGTTTAACACGTAGGCTCGTAACCAATTGGCACGTTTTCTTTACGTGACAAACCTTACTAATTGCCTGTTTCGGGTGGTGGCGGGTTTAAGGACACATTTACGCCATCTAACCCAAAAACCCCTTACGGATTGCCATGCCAGTCAGTACACGTTTGTTAGGGAGGGGCCCGAGACTGGTTCAGATATCACTCGCTAGCTACCGATGTGAGCCATGGCTGGCAAACTGCAGTGCACTAACGACTGCACCATTGCTCCACTCCACAAGAAGCATATAATTATTATGTCATTGCTAATATAGTTTAACTAATGCTTGCAGGAAGTAATAATTGTGTGTGTGAG